TCCCTGTAGGCGCATGGATATTACCCTATCACTTATAGCATTGTACCTCATGACTGATCTGGATATGTTCTTTTTGACGATGAATGCAACACCATTCTTTTTCAATTTGTCATTCCCTGCATAGTAAACCATGTGGTTGTCAGCTTCAAAATGGCCAATACTAATCCATTTCAGCTCACTAATGCCTAAGATATTGATGTTGATGCATTCCATTTCATTTTTGACAACTTCCATTTTTTCCAGATTCATACTTTAATGACTGGGATCTTTGATGAGTGGCCATCTAAGGAGTAACTATTGGTCTCTCTGGAGGGAAGAAGAGTGATGAAATTTGAAGACATTTGGAACAATTAGTCCAATGGACTAATGGGCCATGTAAACATGTTTCCATGACCATGAGACCAGAAGAACTAGATGGTGCCTATCTACCACTACCAACAGCTTAAAAGGATCACATGAGAAGGTCCTGGATAGAGAGGGAGAAAATGTGGATTAATACTTAAATCATAATATATATATATACTTACTGGTCAGATAGAATCTGGTGGTCCTTGGTCACCTTTCAGGTGTGGAACTGAACTCACTCTCATTGACTCAATTTTCAGCCAAGCAATAGGTAGGTGTCTGGAGGAGGGGGCAACGAGACTAGTGAGATATGCACATCATAGAATGGTCAACCATTAGAGGTCAAAAGGGCAGCATTTATGTAAGGACAAAATTCATAAGGGTGGGGAACGAAGGAGGAATGGAAACAAGAAACATAGGGAGGAAGTAGAATAAGTGATGTTACATTGAGAGGACTGCAATCATTAAGATGAAGTAATTTGTTGACTGTAAAACTGATGATCCCTTAATTTACAATAAAAAGTTAAAACAACAACAACAACAACAGAAACAACTCCCTCACTTGTGGTCCAATTAATAAATTCATGTTAACACATAAGAGGGTCTGATAAGTATTGAGGTGATAACATTATTAACATAGTAGTCCCTTCCTTCAGGACCTTATAGTTTAGTGGGTTAGACCAACATGCTAGCAGTTAATTTATAAACACACTAAGACTTTGACTTATAGCAACCTTACATGAGTTTCTGAACGTGTAAATCTTTATAGGAGCAGACAGCCACATCTTTGTCCCCCAAAGAAGCTGGTGGTTTGAACTGCCAACCTTATGGTTCATAGTCCAAAACCTTACCCACAGTGCCACCAAGGATCCTTTATATCCACCTTAAATCGAGTTCTTCTCCTGTGTTATCTCTCCTGATGATTGAAACTAACAACTATTCATGTACAACTTCACATCCCCTGCAAGCCTTCCTTTCTCTTCTTCCTTTTCACCAAGTCTACCATATGCTCAATCTCAATCAGTCACCAAGTCTTCTGAATTCACCTCTAAAGTATTTCTCAGATGTATTCCTCCTCTTCATCCTAGTTGTCATGAACCCAGGTCAGGGCATCCCTCCTGTGGACCACAACCTTCCAGCTAACCTCTCAGTCACAATCAAAACTCAGTTGCTAGAAGTCAATGACTGATATTTCAGAAGTAAATCACCCGGCCTTTCTTCCAAGGTAGGCTTGAACCTCCATTCTTTTCGATACATTTACCATTTCACCACCCAAGTGTCCCAATAATCTCTTGCTCAGTCAACATCAATTGCTGCTGCCACCATACCATCCTTTCCACTCATCATCTGCCTTGGCTCCCCATAGGCTGTTATGTTATTCCACATCACTTGTCTCTGTTTGGAATGCCTTGCTCCTCTAGGTCTCCTTCTGCACACACATACACTCACATACACTGGTACCTTGTCTCCTGTGCCTCACATTGTATATAAATGCCTTGCTAAACTGTTCAAGAACTTCTTATCTTTGTGCCTGCTCATCTGTGTCTTCAGTGCCTGGCATGCAGTTGTTGTTCTTAGGTGCCATTGAGTTGGTGATGACTCATAGTGTGACTTATGCACAGCAGAACAAAACACTGCCAAATCCTGGGCCAACCTCACTATTGTTGCCACGCTTGAGTTCATCGATGCTGCTACTTGGCCAATCCATCTCGTTGGGGGTCTTCCTCTTTTTCTCTGACCCTCCACCTTACCAAACATGATATCCTTCTCCCGAGACTGGTCCCTCCTGACAAAATGTCTGAAGTATGAGAGACGAAGTTTGGCCATCTTAGCCTCCAAGGAGCACTCTAGATGCACTTCTTCCAACACAGATATGTTGGTTCTATGGGCAGTCCAAGGCACTTTCAATATTGTCCTCCAACACCATAACTCAAAAGCATCAATTCTTCTACAGTCTTCCTTATTCACTGTCCAACTTTCACATTCATATGAGGTTACTGAAAATACCATGGATTGGATCAAGCACACCTTAGTCCTCAAGCTGACATCACTTTTCAACACTTGAAAAAGATCTTGTGTGGCCAATTTGCCTAATGCAACATATCGTTTGATTTCTTGACAGCTGTTTCCATGATGCAGTAGGAATTCAATAATACTAGACAGTGTTCTAAATAACATTCACACATCAATTTACTAATTCTGTGGCACGCTATGAGAAAGATTTTATTATTTCACAGTTGAGGCAATGAGAAGTTCAGCAACTTATTCACGATACAACAGTTAAGAAGTAGGAGAGTTAGGATTTGAATTCAGCAGTCTTGCTATAAAGTATGGTTTGGACTATGCTTATCTACCCATCATTGTACATGTCTTTGTTGAATGAATGGTACTCCATTTTCACCTCCATCTCCATGTCATAACCAAATTAAACAATTCTCTGCCAATAGCATTCTTTCCTCACATTTGCCCACCTCTGTTCCTCCAGTGTCTCAGATAAGCTTGGAGTCATCTTTGACTCTCACCTTGTCTTCTCCCCTCCCTTTTCCAGCCTGGTCTAATCTCTCATTATATGTAGGTGGTTGGTCTTTTTCCCTTGAAACATCTATCAGATTGGCTCCTTCTCCATTTGAAGTCCTCTGCTCTGATCTTCATCTCTTCATGACCAGATGAGCCCATCAGATTCCTGATTGATTTCTCTGACTTCACTACTGTCATGAATTTAATTGCGCTTACCCAAAATATATGTCTGCTTGGCTGGGCCATGATTCTCAGTGGTTTGGCAGTTATGTGATCATCCCCCCATAATGTAATCTGATGTGATAAACCAGTGAAAGAATTAAAGATCGTTAACAGAATGTGGTGCTGTGGGATAATGCACTGGACCGCAAGGTTGGTTTGAACAGCAAGGATGGTGGTTCAAATTCACCAGCTGCTACTCAGAAACCCTACACAGGATCACTATGCATTGCAACTGACTGACAGCATTTGACAACAACAACACAGAGTCCTGGTGTAGCTTTGTAGAGTAAGCACCATGTTGCTAGCCTCAAGGTCATTCAAACCACTTGCTGCTCTAGGAAGCCCTATGTTGCTGTTGTTGTTATGTGCTGTCAAATCAGCTCTGACTAATAGCAACCCGATGCACAACAGAATGAAACACTGCCTATTCTTGCTCCATCCTCACAATGATGATTATGCTTGAGCCTATTGTTGCTGCCACTGTGCTAATCCATCTCATTGAGGTTCTTTCTCTTTTTTCACTGACTCTCCACTTTAGCAAGTACAATGTCCTTCTCCAGGGACGGGTCCCTCCTGATGATAGTATGTCCAAAGTTTAAGTGGTGGTGGCTCCAGGGACTCTGCCATCTCCAAAGAGATTGATGACCTTGGGCAAGTCATTAACCTCATAGTGTCTTAGATTCCTCATTTGTAAAATGGGGATAACAGTATTTGTCTCATTGTGCTAGCAACTGAGATAACACTTGGGGCAGTGCTTGACACACAGTAAGTGTTCAATGTGTTTTAGCAATTAAAATGTACAATCTCCACCCACAAATCTCATAGCATATCACTATATGAAGTTGGCTAATAGCTCTGGCTAAAAATGAAAGGACTTTTAAACCATACATAGTTGAGAGGAAGTTGCCATACACCTGGCCCCTTCTTAATCCCTCAGACAGTTCGTTCCTAGAAAGCATTATATGCTGTCCAAAAATTTCCTTATGTGGTCATTTTCAAAATGTACAACAAAAGAAAATACAACCCAGTCTGGTGGGAAGTACACAGAATCTGAGACGGTTATGAGAGCACAGCAAATCTCGAAACCTGTCTGAACTCATGTACAAAATGAAAATAATAATAATGCCTTTGCCACGAGAATATTGAGATACTGCATATACACCCTTTTGCTTCTCCCCACCTTTTGCCTGGCACATAGTAAATGCTATATAAACAAATTATGTGTAACATTATCATAAGCAGAAAATGTACATGAACATGCTTAAGGACGAGATAGATTTATAAATCCCACATTATCAAAACCAAGTATTAAAAATAGTGGAAAGGTAAAAAGATTTTGCAGATGCCTACAACTACTGCTTATTTGGATAACAAGATTGTCTTTCTAGATGGGAGCAAAGATCTCCTCCCCCTCAAGCCTGAGGGCAGAGACGAGAGAAGACCGCCCCTCGCCCGCCACCCCCAGAACCCCGCCCCCAGGACCGCGTGACGCTGTGCACAGGCTCCGCCAATGAGGGGCGGGGCTTATTTTGGTCACGTGGACGCGGGTGCGGAAGTGGTGCTGCGGGCAGCGTTTCTGGTTGGCCGCCACAGAAGGTCCTGGGGGCGGGGTCAGGCCTGCCGGACGCGCCAAGAGGAGCCGGGGGAGGAGGCTCCGGTGGGGGCTGGCACTAGAGTCAGGGATTTGCCCCGCGACGTCTGAGCGCTGGACCTGCGACGGTCCCGTGCACCCCGGCTTGTGCGATCGCTCGCTGCTCTGGATCCTCCAGGCCCAGGCGCCGGCGGCTGCGGGCGGCGGGTGGGTTGAGCTAAGGGAGACCAGAGGGTGCAGGCGCCCTGTGCTCGGAGCAAGCGTGAGGCTGCCGGGGACCGGGACGCCATGTCCATGGAGGACCCCTTCTTTGTGGTGAAAGGGTGAGTGACGGCAGGCTCCAATGGAGAGGGGCGGCCGTGCTGCCTGCCTGCACCTCTTCACTCCCCTTCCAGTAGTGGAAGGAACGCAAGTTGAGGCTGGGGAGGGGACTGAGCGGATGGCTTAGCCTGGAGAGCCATGACCAAGCGTCCAGTGATACCTTCTACCCGTTCTACCTGGACGTGAAACTTGCGCTTCCATTCAAACCCCTGAGAGTGGCCTCCTTTTGGCCTGTGCGCTGTGGTACAACTTGTCCGGGGTCGGGGGTTCCGCAGATCTGCAGGTGGGGAGAAGCACAAGTCCTGACCCAGAAAGGGGCGCAAATGGAGTTTGGCACTCTACTTCGAAAGAGGGAAAACAGCATCTGGGCAGGAAAAGGGAAATGGACCGCCTGAGCTTTGTAGTTAGAGTTGACGGGGGTGAGCTCCCATTGTCCATTGAGTTTGGAGCACTCGCCCGCAGAGTGGTGACACCACAGCGTGCCCACAGGCGTCTGAGCACGTTTGGAGGGAGGGAGGGAGGCGTGGGCGGGTGTTGACCTGGGGAGCGCTGCACCGGAAGGCAACTCAATTCATTGGGGGGAGTTTTTACTGAGTGATGTGATGGGAGGAAAACAGTCGTTCATACCCAGTGATGATGTTGGAAGGGAAACAAACAGAAATCAGCCAAACTAAACTTTCAACTTTCTGTTAGCAACTGGGATTTTCCCACCGTGCTAAAGGAAATGAGTGGTTTCTTTAACTCCCAGATTTCATCCAGGCTGTTTGACAGGTTCCCCCTTTTTCTTCTTAGTCTGCTTTAAAGAAAAGAATTGCCTTACTTTATTTTTCCTGGTTAGTTGTCAGGACTCAAGCTTTTGATTGTTTAGCGCTAGAACCTTTAATTTCATTTTGTTCTATCAACTTTATCACCATTTAAACAAATGCGTGAAAGATCTGATTCTAATATGGTAACTTCTAATAACTTGTCAACTTTATGCTTCAAATGTCAAATTTAAACAATTAAAAAACAAATCTAAGAACTACAGGTCCCACAAGAACTGTACAATAAACTTAACTACCGCTTGCTTTCAACCTGTTTGCAACTACTTGTTGTTATTATATCGAGTCGGTTCCGACCCATAGCAACCCTGTATAGGGTTTCTGAGGAGTGGCTGGTGAGCTTGTACCGCTGACCTTGCAGTTCAAACAGCTTTGCAGTCTGGCGCATTAACCCACAGTGCCACACCAGGACTCGGTTACTACTAGTAGCATCCTTTATTTTCAGGGTTAAAGCAAAACGTGAGTGTTCGTTGTTGTTAAGAATTCTGTTATCCTTTATTCTCAGTGTATTTAAATAGTTGTTATTGTTAAGTGCTGTCGAGTCCGTTCCATCCCAAACCCTGTAAAGGGTTTCCGAGGAAAGGCTGATGAGCTTGAACCGCTGACCTCACAGGTCAAAGCCACTGTACAGTCCAGCGCATTAACTCACAGCGCCACATACTTTATTATCCACGATACACTACGTTCATACTATTGCATTCCATTTTCCTAAAAAAGCTTTTCATCACTTCAAGTTAGGTGGGAAACTACTGAGTTGTAGACTTACTAGTAATATGTGGTTCTGTAATTAGAGACTGTATTATTCACTAGAAACATTGATTTAGGGGTATGCTTTAAAACTGTGTTTTTCTTTAAATGACAGTCTTTGTTGCCTAGGTTGCTAAGGTTATATCTGGAAGTGGCCATCACAGATACTCAGTTTTGTGTCTGTTTGATTTTTAATGGAATTTGAAAAAAACCCTAAATTGCTTTGTTATCTTGACTTATCCCCCTGATTGTACCAATACAGTCTACCAGTGCTTGTTCAATGATAAGATACACCCTTTATTAGAACATTGGGATGGATTTTGGGTTAACTTTTCTTAGTACGTCATTTTAGCTCATGCCCTTTGGTGTCTGAAGAAAAGACACTGTCAATGTCTTCTGCAGTGGAAAGGTTAAGGCACAGGTTGTTTGTGTGATGGCATATTTGGCCTCGTGGTATAAAGGGTTACTGTTGAGCTGCTTACCACAAGATCAGCGTTCAAACCCACCATCTGCTCTGAGGGAGAAACATGAGGCTTTCCACTGCCATGAAGATTTAGAAAACTTAAGGAGCAGGTGTACTCTGGCCTGTAGGGTTCTAGGAGCCTGACTTGATTCGATGGCAGTGAGTTTGTACCTCCATGTACTAAAGATATTGAAAATTTGCCACACAATGTAGAAAACTTTGTCCCCTAACTTATAATTTTTAGCCTAGGAATTTACAGTCCGATTTGGGAAACAACGTACCCCAAATTATACTAACAAACAAAAAAGACTAAGTGCTAAAGTGACTACTACAAAAGATTAGGTGCCCCAGAATTCAGAGAAAGGCAATTCATTAGGAATTGTTATGATTACAAAATCATAACAATTGGAGGTAGTGGTAGATCTTTAAGTAGGTTTGTTGGCAGAGTGGTTAAGTGCTCAGCTGCGCACATAAAGGTCAGCAGTTTAAATTCACCAGTTGCTCCATGAGAGAAAGATATGACAGTTGCTTTGGTAAAGATTATAGCCGTGGAAACCCCATGGGGCAGTTTTGCTCTGTCAGGTACAGTTGTAATGTGTTAGGATCAAATCAGTGGCGTCCAACATTAGTAGGACTTGAACTAGATTTTGAAGATGGGTAGATTTTAGATAATTCAGGCTCATCTCTCATCTGGATTGTTACAAAGAGTCTTTTAACTGGTCTTTCTGCCTCTAGTCTGTTACCTCTTTGAACTGTCCTTGGGTCATTCTAGACCAGCATTGTCCAGTAGAAATATAATGAAAGCCACATATGTCATTTTACAATTTCTAATTGTTAAATTAGAATGTAAAAAGAAACAGGTGAAATTCATTTTAATGTTTTATTTAACCTAAGTCTTTGAAATTTGGTGTGTATTTTACATTTACAGCATATCTTAGTTTGAATGCTAAATTTTCATTAGATATACTTGATCTGTATTTGTTGTTGTTGTTAACTACCATAGAGTCAGTTTCAACTCATAGTGACCATGCACAGGGTATTTTGAGGCTGTAAATCTTTACAGGAGCAGAAAGCCTCATCTTTCTCTTGCGGAACAGCTGGTAGTTTTGAACTGCTGACCTTGAGGTTAGCAGTCCGATTCATAACCACTATGCTACCAGAGCTCCTTTTATCTATATTTGTTGTTTTTGAGTGCCATTGAGTCGATTCCTACCCATAGCAATCCTGTATAGGGTTTCCAAAGAGAAACTGGTGAGCTTGCACCACCGACCTTGCAGTTCACACGGCTTTGCAGTCTGGCACATTAACCCACAGCACCACACCAGGTGTTATAAAATTTACAGTTGAAAAAGTTGATTTACATATCCAAATTGTTCCAAACATACTTCAAAGTTTTCCAATAACTGAATTGCAGATATTTTAAATTAATTAAAATAAACATTTCTTAGCCCCTTCTAAGACTGAAACTCGAAGGGAACACATGAGCAGGCATTGAAGCTTGCTGGCGACCACATTGGTCTACTGGTGAGTGGAAGAGGGGGAAAGCCAGCAAGGAAGAAATGGGCTGAATTTAACAATAGTCCATTGACTCCCGTTGACCTGGAGATGAGAGAGAGAAGAGGAAGGGCTGGTTGGTCCAAAGTGTGGTGAGGCCTGGGGACATCTGAGCCTGTGGTCAAGGATATAGCCACAGAGGGCTAGAGCTGAGAGTGAAACATCCAGCTGATAGGAAGTGAGGGGAGACACACAAAAGCACCCAGATTTATAGATAGTACCCATTTGACCTAGCCTTGATGGCTTGATAATCAGAACTCAACTAGAGGAAGATTAAACAACAAAAAAAATTTTTTTTGGATAAAGGAAACAAGGATAAGTTGCTACAATTTGATGAACTTACTCCTATACTGATGGAGGTTGTTGTTGTTGTAAGTGCCCTTGAGTTGATTCAGACCCATAGCGACCATGTGTAGGATTTCCAAGGAGCAGCTGGTGAACTTGTACTACCAACCTTGTAGTTCAAATAACTTTGCTGTCTTATGCATTAGCCCACAGCGCCACACCAGGACTCCACTGATGAAGGGAGTAGCTGTAGATACCAGCAGAGAGGGAGAGTCTTCACATCAAGTATCAATGCTATCCCCTCTGTACACAGGGTAGATAGGGACGGGTAACTTAGACATTGGCTACCTAAAATGAGGGGGTGATAAATGCACAAAGTGATTGGTTTACAAGTTTTCAAGAGGGAGTTTAGTTTAAGAGTATGTCGGGGAAGATAGGGTTCCTACTGAATAGTTGTCATCTTGTGTAGATGGGTCTGGTAAAAAGAGATGGGGATAAGATTTTTATGATTCAATAGTGAGTAATTGTTTTCATGACTAACTGAGACTGTCACAATTGTAAAGGTAGAAGTTTTGTAACAAAAATGGAGG